GTGATCGCAAAACAAAAACAGCCGCTCTCAGGATGATCGTCGTTACATTTACATAAAATATACCTTTTTGCTGAACAGCTTATCAGTAGCCATTTTTATTTGCCTGTTTACGATGATTAATCAGTGAGAGCTATGGACGTGTCCTCGTCCTGGACGGTCGCATTCAGCTGACGGAACGTGACGAACCCTTCTATCAGGAAATGATAAGCTTTCTACCACTTAATGTGCATCCTTCTCCCCGTCGTGTCTTGATCATCGGCGGCGGAGATGGTGGAGTTGCTCGTGAGGTGGCTCGGCATTCCTGCGTCGAACATGTTGACCTCGTCGACATTGATGAAGTGGTACTAGAGGCCTCCAAACAGTTTCTGCCCTTCACAGCATCTGGCCTCTCACATCCAAAGGTGACCGTCCACGTTGAAGATGGATTTCAGTTTTTGAAGAAAGCACGAACACAGAAGTATGATGTTGTCATCACTGATTCGACGGATCCTGGAGGCACGTTTACCTGATTGTCTCGATCTTTGCTTTCGTGAAAAATTTCGCTTGTTAATTTTTCCTTGCACACACTTACAATCGCCAAGACGTTTCGCTAACGTTCTGTGGCTAAAAGACAACTGCCAGGAATTTGGCTTACCATGAAGGATGTAGCCTTCATCATCTGGTTCCTTTTATGACCTTAATTTTGAATGTGAAAGTTATAATTTCCCCAAAAATAATTGGATGATGATGGTTGTAGTGCCGTTGTTGATAATCATGATGATAATTATGATGATGGTTGTTGTTGTTGCAGGATTTGAGGTTTGATCCTGTAAGTTGAGGTTGGGACATAACCGGGTGGTGGTGGACATTCCGAAGCGATGTTAGAGGAACGAGGTTCTTCGGCCTTTATTGTCCATCGCTCTCTTACGCATGTGCTTGGACCGAAGGGATTTCATATAATGTTATAATTGAATAAAGAAATGGTTTAGGGGGCGTAAAGTGAGGATTTGCATCCAGTTCTATAAGTGAAAATATTTGCTTACTGACCGAACTGGTTTGTCTTTTTTATAGGTCCCTCAACTCCCTTGTTTGATGAAAACTACTTTAAACTTGTCAGTGACGTGCTCAACACGGACGGGATTATGTGTTCGCAAGGTAACGCTCCTTTACTCTTGTATACTGCCCCTTATCTCTCCTTTACCGAATGTTTTCATTTATTACCTCTGTTGGAAGATAAATTCCTTATTTGCGTACCGCTGCTGATCTTTCCTTAGCTGGGAGTAAGCTTTTTGTTTCAAAGCATCCTGCCTGCAAAGTAAATCATACTTATTCTTATGACGTCGTATTCTCGGGGAAGGTAATCTGCTCGCCCTGTTTTATTGGGTTCCAAAGTGCCGACCTGTTCAACGATATACAACTTACTTCCACGCATTCCTTTAACTAGTCTCCCACTTAAGTAACTTCTTCACTCCAGGAGGCCACTATATTCGTTCCATTAAGGTTTTTTGGAACGGAAGCGTTCTACTATGCCAAGTCTGTACGTTCTTATGGAGCCTTTACGCGTCAGTCGGCAAATGTCTTTTCGGTTTCAATCCATTTATTATTATTATTATTCACGGGGTCCAAACAACACTAGCATACCCAGGAAGTCGACATAATCGTTTAACTTGCTACTATTCTGTTTTTTTGCCACTGGAGATGGCAAAAAGCAGCAGTAGTATCAGAGGTGCACGGAGGATTAAAATAAGATAGCAAAAATGGAAGACGCACTAACCAATAACATAGGGGTAACGCGCGCACATCAAATCACCAGAGAACGTTTTCCTAGATCGAGTTCTCTAGTAATGCTAATCCAGCCCCTGGGAGTCCTTTCCCCTATGCAGATTTTGCGTCACTTCGAAAGTACTTTTGAAGGTTCTCCAGTCGCTTGAATCTCTTCCTGATTGATATTTGGATTTTTAGGGACAAAGTACTAAACAGCTTGGTTGAAAGTTACCATTTGCAAGTCTACTTTTTACAAAAGCTGATAATATTTTTGAACATTTGGCAGTTACCAGTCAGTAGCTTACTGAAGTATTGACTCATGTTCGGAGAAAATCTTCCAAAATCTTTAGTTTTCTCTCTGCTGTAGCCAAGACTACATTTACTTAGCTTACAACTTTTTCTGTGTTACCTGTGTCGCTTGAGTTCCTGAGGGGCCAGCTTCATATAGCCTGCATATCCTTTTGAATTATTCGCCTGTCACTGGCGGTGCACAGACATGCAACTTTTCCCTTTAGCAAAACTATGGCCATCATTTCTGACAGTCCGGCTAAGCCGTTCCTCACTGCACCGAGGGTGCACGGCCGCTCGGGTGGCGTAATGGCTTTCTGTAGTACCCTGATTCGAAGGCGGACCTCTCCACACACCCCTCAACAGAATTGCATCTGATGTCAATAAATTAAGTCCCCTTGAATGTAGGGTGACATTTGCCATCTCTGACATTTTACTTTGACGCTCTAGGCGCCTGTCTGTTACCTCCTAATTTCGACTGGCTTTGACGATTTCTGTGCAACGTTTTACCCCCCGTTTACCGTGCTTCTCGGTCATTTCAAGCGGCCTACTGGGACTCACAGTTGATTAAGCATGTTTGCTCACGACTTTCTAGCGTTTTTATAGTGATTTAGACCACTTTTGTTGACGTCACGGTGAAGGAGTTGCTCGAATCTCGCCTGTCAAACGCCCTTGTAACTTAATTGCTCCATAAAATGGGCATTGTAACAGAGAGTTGTCAACTGGTAGACAGGCGTTAACCGATCGGTTACCGAACTCATTCCTCCCGTGGGGCCTTTGGGTTCGATCTCGAGCTCTGCCAGCAGCCGCTCAGCGGCTAGCCTATTTTAGGCGGAAATAAATTACCGACAAAGACAAGGGAGACTGGAATGGCCATTTCTGGCATATTAGCCCCTCCTCCGTTCCGACGTCGAACGCATAAGCCTCGTAACCGTTTACGGCCTGCGACAATAGAACAGGCACTGGGTTTACGAGGAACTCCCTTCCGATCGCCGCCAATGGGCCGGCGTTATAATTGACATCCGTGAAGCCGATTCATCCAACAACAGGAGCTAATTGGTTCAAGTACCAGGAGCTAGAACATTAAACTGCTAACTAACAAGTACGCAAGTTCGAGCCTCGGGGGTTGTCACCCCTGGAGTTGGGTATGGCTAGCTGATGACGTCTTACAAGCCAGAAGTGGCCATTCCTGTTTCCCTTATCTTTTTTGGTAATGATTTCTACCAATAATATGTGTTAATTGCCAGATATAAAGCCATGTAAATATTATGTATTGTGTTGAGGAGAATGCTCCGTGCTGTTCCATGCACAGGATTAAGGCCGACCGAAAGCCTGACTGAATTGGTCAGGCGAATACTATTGGTGTCGACAGCAGGGACGAAATCTGACGTCTCTTCTCTGGAGTGAACAAGCTGCATATGACCTACACCAAAACAACACTGACGCAATTACTGACACAGGTCTTATCTGTGTCTCGCGTTCTAATACATTAGACGCATTGACACTGTTATGACAAACTAAAATGCGTGACTTTATTAAGGCTGCTAGATGATAGAGTAAACCAATCCTTTGTAATGAGTAAAGATCACAATGGCTCCTTTTTGCTGTGGTGCCTTTTAATCATCTGTGTGTGGCATGCGTTGGTTTGCAATCCTGTCAACCATTGGAGCGACTTGGACATTCCGCTGGTTTGTAATAACCAAATACGCTTCGAAAAGATTACACGCGTGAAGCGGCGTGATTTGAAGTGTAAGCACTTGAAAAGCTAAGCAGTTCCGGTGAGGTTGTCTCTAGCGGTCTTTTTTGGGTCCTTATGTATTATAGCAACCTGCTTAAATTTTTAAGTAGGTTGAATTACCTGTACACTTCTGGTTTTCTACGCG